CCCTTTATAATAAAATCAGTTTAGTCCAACACAATATTGTCAGTTATTGTTTCCTTTATAATAAAATTAATTTAGACCAACACAATATTGTCAGTTATTGTTCCCTTTATAATAAAATCAATTTAGACCAACACAATATTATCAGTTATTGTTCCCTTTATAATAAAATCAGTTTAGTCCAACACAATATTGTCAGTTATTGTTTCCTTTATAATAAAACCAATTTATACCAACACAATATTGTCAGTTATTGTTCAACATAAATTTAATACACACTTACCGCTTTTCCAGGTAATGTTAGAACCCCTTTCCAGTATCTTTCTGGAATTTGTGGGAGGGACATTACAGCCTTCAAGTGATCATAGCTACTGTTGTAGATTTGGTGAACATATCTGGCTGACTCTAGGCTGCCGCTGTAGAAAGGCGCTTCACTACTGCTTCGATAAAAAGCGGTCAGAAACACGCAGGATATTGTTAAAAGTTTAACAAAGCTTTGCATGATGTCTCATAAAATAAACAACATTTAGTTGAATGATCCGAAACCTAACAAATTATTGCTTTTACAAGTTGATTTAACAAGAAGAAAAGTTTCAAGATCTAAAAAAAACTAAACAGAATGGAAGAAATTATGTTTTTCTTTAAAGTTGAGTGCATGTAGTCATGAGCTGCGACGAGGCACGAGACGGTGGGGCGAGTCAAAGGTCGTTCTGGTAACCTTGGTTCGAGGCAATAACCCCTACTGACAAAGATCATATTTTGAATAATGATGATGATGACAAAACCTTGTCGAAACGTTGTAAATTTGCTGTTGTGTTAAACTTATATTAAAGTTTTTCTTCATTGCCCATTCAAACCGTCTACAACCAATATATTTTGAATAAGTTTCCTGTATCTAAGCCACTGAACTGAACTGCGCATTGGCTAGTGTCACTTGACGTCAGACGGTAGCCATATTGTTGGTCTCTAAATTATCTAGTGTTAACGGCAAGGCTATCTGAGTGGTTGGTCTGGTTGTTATTAAGCGCAGAGCTACACGATGTGCTATCTGTACTTTGCCCGCCACGGGTATAGAAACCTGATTTTTAGCGTCGTAAGCATGTATACTTACCACATCTAAGAGATAGTTGAATGTGTTGTAATAATTTTTCTCTTTCAGTTTTGGTGTCTCACTTTTTCTTATTACGTACATTTTGATTTCTTTAGTTTTATATCAAATGGCTATATATAAATTAATAGTTTCTTCTAGATGTGACATTGTAAAAATATAGGGCCTGTGTGTTAACTAGATACATGAACTGTAATGTGTACAATAAACACAGTCACTGAAAATGAAACACATATCAACACTGTTAATGAAATGTTTAAAGATGGAGATTGTGGTATTTAACACCTCCATTTTTTGTGCAGTTCCACAATGTTCAATACGTTACCAAAACCAAAACCATTATCCCGGAACTTACCATGGGCAGTGGACAGGAACAGGGTAAATGATGGGCCTTGATTGGCTTAGGACAAGGGTTAGGGATCAGGGAACACACATCTTTGTAGTCACAAGAACCCACGTTATTTTCACAAGGAAGCTCTATCCAGGCGAACAAGATTTTCTTCTTAACTTCTAAGTCCAACTGGATAAGATAAAAATGCATGAATCACACTAACAAACACACACAGAAAGAAAAATCAAGTATTGGGGTTATTCTTAAAGACTTATATTAGTTTTCTTACAAACGAGAGTATTCTTTTACTGTTTTGAGAACTTATGTTAGATATTTTGGACGGTATGGGTCCTACAACTCCAGACTAAGTTCCTACAAACATTGTATTACCTCATCTCTGGAGTATACAATTAAAGATGATTACTAACAAATATTTCACCAGCTAAATGCTCATCGTATAAATAAAACGTCACAAGAATTATTTGGTGATATTGAGTATTCACCATAGTGCTATTTACCAAGAAAGTAATTCATAATGATTTATGCTCGTTAAATTTCATTAAAAAGGTATAATGACGAAAATTTAATTAATTAATGCTGCTCATAAGCATGTGCAATTGAAAATAAAAAAAATACACACTGGGAAATAACTTACAATCCACAAAAACCTACTTCAATGTCTCATCCATATACTGTATACTTACATATGATTGTAAGCTATATTTTTAATGTTATAATTTGCTTGTTAGTTAGAAGGAGTTGTGTGATGACGTTCAGATCAAAACGTTTAATAAGATAGGCCTAGAACACCTAGAAAGTTATAAGAATTTTACGTCAATTCTTTTTTTCTAGTACATTCGAAGCTGGATTATAAATACCAGGTAATTGTGATGTGTATGTAAAGTTGTGACAAGATAGTAAAGTCAATCATTCAGGATGTTAGCTATCACAGTTACTTTGTACAACGTCCTTCGGTGAGACAGCGGTAAGTCTATGGACTTACAACGCTAAAATCCGAGATTCGATAACTCGCAATGGTTACAGCAAATAGCCCAATGTGGCTTTGTTCTTTAACAAACAAACAATACTTTGTACAAGTAAGTTGGTTTGATTTCATGATAGTGGACAGTATTGATAGAGTTTTGAACACCATGTTGACGTAGGCCTACAACAATTTACGACAGTGTTCAAGCGTTCAAGTAATTTTCTCTCGTCACGTGGACTGAAAATTGAATTATTTTCATCAGATGATTTTAAAAGAATCCGCCCACGAAAAACAACGCTATAACAATATTATACACAAACGTAGATACATGCCAGAGACTTTATTTTAGACACATGGTACTCGGTAGGAGGCGCACAACTATGACTATAGGAGCATATAAATTATATATTAAAGTACAAATTTAAAAATAAACATGTTTACAACTACTGTACTGTACTGTAATATAGTAACAACAATTAACATGGGAAAAACTTGGAAAACACCTACCTCAAATGAAGAAATATTTCTAGACAACAGAACATCAAAGCTGAGTGTTATTGAGGCTGACAGATGTATAGGGTCGGGAGAAACATTCAGTGACTTCACTTCCAGAGGATCAGAAGGCTTTCCACAACTGGCCCACTTGAACTCTCGAACAGATCGTTTACTGATCTACATGGAATCAAAACAGGAGATTTATAACTAGTTATATAACAGTACTTTGGTTAAGGTTTATAACCAGTTATATAACTGTACCTTGGGTAAGGTTTATAACCATTTATATAACTGTACCTTGGTTAAGGTTTATAACCAGTTATATAACCGTACCTTGGGTAAGGTTTATAACCAGTTATATAACCGTATCTTGGGTAAGCTTTATAACCAGTTATATAACCGTACCTTGGGTAAGCTTTATAACCAGTTATATAACTGTATCTTGGTTAAGGTTTATAACCAGTTATATAACTGTACCTTGGGTAAGCTTTATAACCAGTTATATAACCGTACCTTGGGTAAGCTTTATAACCAGTTATATAACCGTACCTTGGTTAAGGTTTATAACCAGTTATATAACCGTACCTTGGTTAAGGTTTATAACCAGTTATATAACCGTACCTTGGTTAAGGTTTATAACCAGTTATATAACTGTACCCTGGTTATGGAGATCTAAATTGAACTATAAAACTGTTTCTTTGCTTACGTGAAATAAGAAGCACAGGTTTCTTGATTATGGCATTTAACTTGAGATATTAAGTTATTTGGAATAAGCAAAATGAATGTTTTGTCTGTCTATTTTAACATTGAGTTGTTTATTGTCTAAACAATTGTTTTAATTATTCATAGCTGTTCGCCAGTTGTTATTATTTATTTTTCATATTATGTTAAGCCTAAAGAACAACTGCTTTGTGTTTTGTTTTGTTGTATTCATATTAAGCCTAACAAAGAGCAGTTACTCGAAACATTGCTAGATAAAATTTATATATTTTATTTTCAACACTGTGATTTTATTTTATTTTAATTTATTATTCTGTTCTTGTCAGAAACAAAACTAGTTTTATATGACCGAACAGTTATCTGTTGAGAATAGATTTATTTGAACTTTAAACTCTGTTCTGAGACAAGCTTGGTCACCTTTTATTAAAATGTTAGCACTTTTTTGTTTGAGTGGTGGGCAGAGCACAGATAGTCTTTTGTGCTTGATAACAAACAACTTCAGATTTCCAAAGGATAGTCTGTCTATTTTATACATGAGCTGGAACTGAAAATAGACAGACTATCCTGTGTGTTAACTAGATGTATCTAGTTAATATACAGGATAGTCCGTCTATTTTCAGTTCATGTATCTAGTTAACACACAGGATAGTCTGTCTATTTTCAGTTCATGTATCTAGTTAACACACAGGATAGTCTATCTATTTTCAGTTCATATATCTAGTTAACACACAAGATAGTCTGTCTATTTTCAGTTCATGTATCTAGTTAATATACAGGATAGTCCGTCTATTTTCAGTTCATGTATCTAGTTAACACACAGGATAGTCTGTCTATTTTCAGTTCATGTAGGAACTGAAAATAGACAGACTATCCTGTGTGTTAACTAGTGTTAGTACTAATGGAGTATAGTATTTTCAATACTTTTCAGGTGATGATCTTCAATGACCGTAGCGCCACTAATGACGAACGGTTTCAGTTATTGTTTCTCTCTCTTTACTAATGATGAACGGTTTCAGTTACTGCTTCTCTATTTACTAATGATGAACGGTTTCACTTATTGTTTCTCTCTTTACTAATGATGAACGGTTTCAGTTACTGCTTCTCTCTTTACTAATGATGAACGGTTTCAGTTATTGTTTCTCTCTTTACTTCTGATGATCGGTTTCAGTTATTGTTTCTCTCTTTACTAAT